AAATTGAATCAAAAGAATGTCAAATGCATTCAACAAAGCTAATTGAATCAAATGAAAGACAAAAACATCTAAAAAAAACCTAATTAAATAAAATGAAAGTCAAACACATTCAAACAAAGCTATTTGAATCAAATGAAAGTCAAATGCTTTCTACAAAGCTAAATCAATCAAATGAAAGTCAAAAACATTCCAACAAAGCCAATTGAATCAAATGAAAGTCAAACACATTCAAACAAACCTAATAAAATCAAATGAAAGTCAAACACATTCAAACAGAGCTAATTGAATCAAATGAAAGTCAAACACATTCAAAAAGAGCTTTTTGAATCAAATGAAGTTCAAATGCAATCTACAAAGCTAATTGAATCAAATGAAAGTCAAAAACATTAAAAAATACCTAATTAAATCAAATGAAAGTCAAACACATTCTAACAAAGCTTTTTAAATCAAATGCAAGTCAAATGCATTCTACGAAGCTAATTGAATCAAATGAAACTCTAAAACATTCGAACAAAGCCAATTGAATGAAATGAAAGTCAAACACATTCAAACAAAGCTATTTGAATCAAATGAAAGTCAAATGCTTTCTACAAAGCTAAATCATTCAAATGAAAGTCAAAAACATCCCAACAAAGCCAATTGAATCAAATGAAAGTCAAACAAATTCAAACAAAGCTAATTGAATCAAATGTAAGTCAAACACATTCAAACAGAGCTTTTTGAATCAAATGAAAGTCAAATGCATTCAACAAAGCTAATTGAATCAAATGAAAGTCAAAAACATCTAAAAAAACCTAATTAAATCAAATGAAAGTCAAACTTATTCAAACAAAGCTATTTGTATCAAATGAAAGTCAAATGCATTCTACAAAGCTAATTGAATCAAATGAAAGTAAAACACATTCAAACAAACCTAATAGAATCAAATGAAAGTCAAACTCATTCAAACAGAGCTAATTGAATCAAATGAAAGTCGAACACATTCAAAAAGAGCTTTTTGAATCAAATGAAGTTCAAATGCAATCTACAAAGCTAATTGAATCAAATGAAAGTCAAACACATTCAAACAAAAACTAATTGAATCAAATGAAAGTCAAAAACATTAAAAAAAAAACCTAATTAAATCAAATGAAAGTCAAACACATTCTAACAAAGCTTTTTGAATCAAATGAAAGTCAAATGCATTCTACGAAGCTAATTGAATCAAAAGAAAGTCTAAAACATTCGAACAAAGCCAATTGAATGAAATGAAAGTCAAACACATTCAAACAAAGCTTTTTGAATCAAATGAAAGTCAAATTCATTCAACAAAGCTAATTGAATCAGATGAAAGTCAAACACATTCAAACAACGCTAGTTAAATCAAAACAAAGTCAAACACATTCAAACAAAACTAATTGAATCAAATGAAAGTCAAACACATTCAAACAGAGCTAATTTAATAAAATGAAAGTCTAACACATTCAAAAAGAGCTTTTTGAATCAAATGAAGGTCAAATGCAAAGAAAGCTAATTGAATCAAATGAAAGTCTAACACATTCAAACAAAGCTAATTGAATTAAATGTAAGACAAACACATTCAAACAGAGCTTTTTGAATAAAATAAAAGTCAAATGCATTCAACAAAGCTAATTGAATCAAATGGAAGTAAAAAACATTCGAACAAAGCCAATTGAATCCAATGAAAGTCAAACACATTCAAACAAAGCTTTTTGAATCAAATAAAAGTCAAATGCATTCAACAAAGCTAATTGAATCAAATGAAAGTAAAAAAGATCTAAAAAAATCTAATTAAATCAAAAGAAAGTCAAACACATTCAGACAAACCTATTTGAATCAAATGAAAGTCAAATGTATTCTACAAATCTACTTGAATCAAATGAAAGTAAAAACATCTTAAAAATTCAAATTAAATCAATAAGAGATCAAACACATTCAAACAAAGCTAATTGAATCAAATCAAAGTAAAACACATTCAAACAAACCAAATTTAATAAAATGAAAGTCAAAGACAAAACACATTCAAAAAGAGCTTTTTGAATCAAATGAAGGTCAAATGCAATCTGCAAAGCTAATCAAATTAAATGAAAGTCAAACACATTCAAAACAAAACTAATTGAATCAAATGAAATTCAAAAACATCTAAAAAAAACCTAATTAAATCAAATGAAAGTCAAACATATTCAAACAAAGCTATATGAATCAAATGAAAGTCAAATGAATTCTACAAAGCTAATTGAATCAAATGGAAGTAAAAAACATTCGAACAAAGCAAATTGAATCCAATGAAAGTCAAACACATTCAAATAAAGCTTTTTGAATCAAATGAAAGTCAAATGCATTCAACAAAGCTAATTGAATCAAATGAAAGTCAAAAAATTCTAAAAAAATCTTATTAAATCAAATGAAAGTCAAACACATTAAAAAAAAGCTAATTAAATCAAATGAAAGTCAAACACATTCAAAAAAAAGCTATTTGAACTAAATGAATGTAAAATGCAATCTACAAAGCTAATTGAATCAAATGAAAGATAAACACATTTAAGCAAACCTAATAGAATCAAATGAAAGTCAAACACATTCAAACAGAGCTAATTGAATCAAATGAAAGTCAAACACATTCAAACAAAGCTTTTTGAATCAAATGAAAGTCAAATGCATTTAACAAAGCTAATTGAATCAAATGAAGGTAAAAAACATCTAAAAAAATCTAATTAAATCAAATAAAAGTCAAACACATTCAAACAAAGCTAATTAAATCAAATCAAAGTCAAACAAACTTCAAACAAAGCTATTTGAATTAAATGAAAGTCAAATGCATTCTACAAAGCTAATTGAATCAAATGAAAGTCAAACACATTCAAACAAAGCTAATTGAATCAAATGTAAGTCAGACACATTCAAGCAGAGCTTTTTGAATCAAATGAAAGTCAAATGCATTCAACAAAGCTAATTGAATCAAATGAAAGTCAAACACATTCTAACAGAGCTAATAGAATAAAATGAAAAGTCAAACACATTCAAAAAGAGCTTTTTGAATCAAATGAAAGTCAAAAACTTCTAAAAAAAATCTAATTAAATCAAATGAAAGTCAAACACATGCAAAAAAAGCTAATTAAATCAAATGAAAGTCAAACACATTCAAAAAAAAGCTATTTGAACTAAATGAAAGTAAAATGCAATCTACAAAGCTAATCGAATCAAATGAAAGATAAACACATTCAAGCAAACCTAATAGAATCAAATGAAAGTCAAACACATTCAAACAGAGATAATTGAATCAAATGAAAGTCAAATGCATTTAACAAAGCTAATTGAATCTAATGAAGTCAAAAACATCTAAAAAAATCTAATTAAATTAAATAAAAGTCAAACACATTCAAACAAAGCTAATTAAATCAAATCAAAGTCCAACAAAGCTAATTGAATCAAATGAAAGTTAAATGCATTCAACAAAGCTAATTGAATCAAATGAAAGTCAAACTGACCAAGATGGTCAAAGGGTAAATATCCATGATCAAGATGAAGAGGTTCAAAACGATGCTAATGTTCCAAGTAATAGAGAATTGTTTTTGTCCAAAGCATTCTTTACTTCTATACACGGTTTTGGCCCGAAGAGTTTATCACATGGTTACACTTCACTTAGTATAATCAACCTTGTTGAAGGCATCAACTGAAGAACCGTTTTTCCAAGCTTAAACACGGTTTTGATGATTGCTGTTTTATGCATTCATTATGGCGTGAATCAAGGCTTGTGTTGGCTTGTGGTGGGCGTGACTTTTGGGAAGCATTAGCTGAATAAACATCCTCATTACTAGGGGGTTATAGAAGTTAATTTTAGTAGTTGTTGCAAGAATAAAGGAGGCATGAATCAAGGACTTAAAGTGGGGGTTACAAAGCGTGAAAGGGGGAGCTGTTCAGGCATGTACTTGGACGTTTGGAGGACCGTTTGATAGCTTCAAGTGACTGCCATTTCCTTCTTGTTATAGGCTAGTTTTAGCATCTCTTAATTAGCTTGATTCAATATGTGTAATGGAAGTAAGTTGGACGGTTATGAGCCACTTATTTTCCTAGTTAAGTTTATTTTCTTTTGTTGCATTTATCATTGAATGTAAAGGGTCTTGTGACCTTTGGTTTGTACGTGCACTACTATAAAAGTGTACCAAATGATGAATGAAAAAGAATCCAGAAATTTGTCTTAAAACATTGCGTTTGATTGATTAAAACTTGACTTAGAAATTAGTCAATTTTAAGGTCCAAATTTGAGAGCCAAATTTGAAGAGTGTTAGCTTTGGTTGAGTGTTCCCAAATCTAAGACTTTCGTAGTAGAAGAGTGGGTTGAGTGTTCCCTATTCCAAACTACACCAAACGAAGGGTTGAGTGTTCCCCTTTGTTATATCCGAGTCTAGGGTTGAGTGTTCCCCTATTCTCACCTTTCTTTCTTACGTTTTCACTTAGACCCTTTAACAAACTTCGTTGTAACAAGTTTCTCATCTTGTTTACACATCATTTGGCGCGTCAGGTAGGGGGAAAATTTTCTTAAATTTTCCAGAGGGGTCGAATACCTACATACCATGGGAGAAAATCAAGATTTGAGGACAGCTTTGGAAGCTCTTAATCGATCCATTGCTAGTCAGGAAAGGTTGGCCGAAACCAATGCCAATCTACAAGGGAACCTTGCTGCCTTGATGGCAAGGCTCATGAACGAGCAAGATAGGAGAGATCAAGGTGACGACCCTCCACCTAGGAGGGAGGATAGGAGTCTTAAAGTGGACGTTCCTGCCTTTGATGGGACTCTTGATCCGGAGAAGTACTTGGAGTGGGAGAAATCCTTGGAAAGGTACTTTGAGTACAAGGACATCCATGAGACGGTTCAACAATATAAGGTAGCCAAAGTCAAACTGAAGGGCTATGGTGACAGTTGGTTGCAAGGAGAACAAAGGGGGCGTACCCTTAGGGGTAAGGCTCACATTTCCACTTGGGAAAAGCTGAAGAAAAGAATGAGAGATCGTTTCATCCCACACAATTACAAGCAAGGCCAGTATGTGAAGTGGAGTACCTTACAACAAAACGGGGACTCTGTGGAGGATTACATAAAAGAATTTGATAGACTTGCTATTGTATGTGAAATATCTGAAAATGAAGAGCTCAAATTGGGTCGCTTCATAGCTGGTTTGGATCAAGAATTGCAAGATAAACTTGAAGGTTACACTAACCTCACGTTTAATGAGGCTTGCAAGTTGGTGATTAAGTTTGATGCTAAGAGGAAAAAGAAGAAACCGACTACTAATCCTCAAGTAGTACGTAAACCCTTTTCCCCCTCAAGAGAAAATGCTTCCTTTAGCAAACCAAACAATCCACCAAAGAAGGATACAAAGGATGTCAAAATAGGTGACATTGTGTGTTACAAGTGTGGAGGACGAGGTCATTACAAAAGGGATTGTCCCAACACTAGAGCATTAACCATGCAAGAGGTTAGGCTCATGGCCACGCAAAATATCAATTGGGAGGAGTTTGAGGAAGAAGAAGAGGAAGTTGAAGATGATTGTGATGACTGCATTGCCGAAACAAGGGAGAAGGCTAGTCTCGTGGTTAGGAGAGCATTACAAGCACGTGTAGGAGAGGATACTGCTCCCCAACGTCAACACATTTTCATCACTCGTTGCAAGGTTGGTGAAGAGGTATGTGACTTAATCATAGATGGGGGAAGTGAAGCTAATACCGTGTCTAGAACCTTAGTGTCTAAACTTGGTCTTACTACCACTAATCATCCGCAGCCATACAAGTTGAGTTGGTTAGATTCTAATGCTAGTACTGGAGTAAGGAAGCAATGCATGGTTTCTTTTTGTATTGGTTCTTATTGTGATTCTCAATTGTGTGATGTTGTTTCTATGGATGCTTGTCATATTCTACTTGGTAGACCTTGGCAAACTGATAAAAGGTCTATGCATGATGGGTATCATAACACTTATACCATAGTTCATGAAGGGAGGAAGAAAAAGTTACACCCTTTACCACCACCACGCTTTTCACCATCACGAACACCACAAAAGGAAGTGTCATTACTGTCTTTTAAAGAGTTTGAGAGGGAGTTGGATGGTAAGGGAGAGTTGTACATGTTATACTCCAAAGAAATCCACGAAAAATTTGTTGCCCAAAATCCAAAATTAGCCAGTTTGATTAGGGATTTTGAAGATGTTTTCCCGGACGAGTTACCTAAAGGACTACCACCCATCAGAGGAATTGAGCATCAGATTGATCTCATTCCCGGAGCACCCTTGCCTAATAAGCCAGCCTATAGATGTAACCCTTTAGAAACTAAAGAGTTGCAACGTCAAATTGAAGAGTTAATGGGTATGGGTTATGTGCGTGAGTCCATGAGTCCATGTGCCGTACCTGCCTTGTTGGTCCCTAAAAAGGATGGAACTTGGAGAATGTGTATTGATAGTAGAGCTGTTAATAACATCACTATCAAGTATAGGTTTCCAATTCCAAGACTTGATGACATGCTTGATGAATTAAGTGGTTCCAAAATATTCTCAAAGGTGGATTTGAGAAGTGGCTATCATCAGATTCGTATGAGGGGAGGTGATGAATGGAAGACTGCATTCAAGACAAAGCATGGGTTGTATGAGTGGCTCGTGATGCCATTTGGATTGACCAATGCACCTAGCACATTCATGAGATTGATGAACGAGGTGTTGAGGCCATTTCTTGGCAAGTTCGTGGTGGTGTACCTTGATGATATCCTTATTTACTCTAACAATGAGGATGATCATTTAGATCATTTGTTTCAAGTTTTTTCTGTTTTAAGAACGCAAAAATTGTATGGGAAACTTGAAAAATGTGATTTTATGTTATATGAGGTCACTTTTCTTGGTTACATAGTTTCAGGTAATGGCGTGAAGGTGGATCCTTGCAAGGTTGAAGCAATTCAATCATGGCCTAGTCCAAAAACACTCACGGAGGTCCGTTCTTTCCATGGCCTAGCTTCTTTCTATAGAAGATTTATCAAGAATTTTAGCACACTCATGGCTCCTATAACTGAGTGTACTAAGAAGGGGACGTTTGAATGGACGACACAAGCTCAAAAGGCCTTTGAAGAAGTCAAGGAGAAAATGTGCAACACTCCTATTCTTGCACTCCCTGATTTTTCCAAGCCATTTGAAGTTGAGTGTGACGCAAGTGGGAAGGGGATTGGAGCAGTTTTGATTCAAGAAGGGCGTCCAATTGCTTATTTCAGTGAGAAGTTGAGTCAAGGCAAGTTGAATTATTCCACCTATGATAAAGAGTTCTATGCTATGGTACGAGCTCTAGATCATTGGTCACATTACTTGAGACCACAACCGTTCATATTGCATTCGGACCATGAATCTTTAAGGTTCATCCATGGTCAAAAGAAGTTGAATTCAAGACATGCTAAATGGGTTGAATTCTTGCAAACCTTTAACTTTTCCTCTAAGTACAAGAGTGGAAAGGCTAATGTTGTTGCTGATGCTTTGTCTAGGAGACATAATTTGCTTGGAATTGTCGAAGCAAAGGTACTTGGGTTCGATTTGATCAAGGAGTATTACCAAGAAGATGATGAACTCAAGGGGATAATTGAAAAATGTGTCCATGGAGTCTATGATCTGTTTTCCTTACATAATGGTTTTCTTTTTAAAGGAAATAGATTATGTATTCCAAAATGTCCCATTAGAAGTTTGTTGATACATGAAGCTCATGGGGGAGGACTAGCTGGTCACGTTGGGATTCACAAGACAATGGAGCTTCTCCAAGCTCACTTTTATTGGCCGAAAATGTTAGCCACGGTTCACCATGTGGTTAGTCGTTGTTCTACTTGTCAAAGGGCCAAGATGGTGTTTCACAAAGGTCTTTACAAGCCTTTGCCAGTTCCGGAAAGACCTTGGGAGGATGTGAGCATGGATTTCATTGTGGCTTTACCTAGAACTCAAAGGGGTAAAGACTCGATCATGGTGGTTGTTGATCGGTTTTCAAAAATGGCTCATTTCATTCCTTGTCACAAAACTGAAGATGCCATGAAGGTTGCTAAGCTATACTTTGAAGAGGTGGTTCGTTTTCATGGAGTACCACGCACAATTGTCTCAGATCGTGATACTAAGTTCCTAAGTCATTTTTGGAAGTCTATATGGCGTTTGATGGGGACTAAGTTGCTGTTTTCTACTTCACACCATCCACAAACCGATGGCCAAACTGAAGTGGTGAATAGAATTCTGGGTTCGTTGCTTAGGACCTTGGTTAGTAAGAGTGCTAAGGATTGGGATGTCAAGCTAGCTCATGCCGAGTTTGCTTACAATCGGACTCCTAGTGCTACTACAAAGTACTCTCCTTTTGAAGTAGTATATGGTGTAAATCCTTATGTTCCTATTGATCTCATAGCTTTGCCACAAGACAAGTTCGTTCATGGTGGAGCCAAGGAACAAGCCGAGTTCATGTTGAAGGTCCACAAGGAAGTTAGGAAGAACATTGATAAGGCAAATGAAGTCTACAAGAACCAAGCCAACAAGAGGGTGAAGAACGTGAAGCAATTTGAAGTTGGGGACTTGGTGTGGATTTACATGAGAAAAGAACGTTTTCCTAACAAGAGAAAGAACAAACTTATGCCAAGAGCCGAAGGTCCATTTGAGGTTGTGGGGAAGATCAATGACAATGCGTACAAGATTGATTTAGGTGGAAAATATGGGGTCTCAAGCACTTTCAATGTTGGGGATCTTGCGCCGTATTTTGATGATGATGAATTGAGGACAATTCCTTTTGAAGAAGGGGAGGATGACCAAGATGGTCAAAGGGTAAATATCCATGATCAAGATGAAGAGGTTCAAAACGATGCTAATGTTCCAAGTAATAGAGAATTGTTTTTGTCCAAAGCATTCTTTACTTCTATACACGGTTTTGGCCCGAAGAGTTTATCACATGGTTACACTTCACTTAGTATAATCAACCTTGTTGAAGGCATCAACTGAAGAACCGTTTTTCCAAGCTTAAACACGGTTTTGATGATTGCTGTTTTATGCATTCATTATGGCGTGAATCAAGGCTTGTGTTGGCTTGTGGTGGGCGTGACTTTTGGGAAGCATTAGCTGAATAAACATCCTCATTACTAGGGGGTTATAGAAGTTAATTTTAGTAGTTGTTGCAAGAATAAAGGAGGCATGAATCAAGGACTTAAAGTGGGGGTTACAAAGCGTGAAAGGGGGAGCTGTTCAGGCATGTACTTGGACGTTTGGAGGACCGTTTGATAGCTTCAAGTGACTGCCATTTCCTTCTTGTTATAGGCTAGTTTTAGCATCTCTTAATTAGCTTGATTCAATATGTGTAATGGAAGTAAGTTGGACGGTTATGAGCCACTTATTTTCCTAGTTAAGTTTATTTTCTTTTGTTGCATTTATCATTGAATGTAAAGGGTCTTGTGACCTTTGGTTTGTACGTGCACTACTATAAAAGTGTACCAAATGATGAATGAAAAAGAATCCAGAAATTTGTCTTAAAACATTGCGTTTGATTGATTAAAACTTGACTTAGAAATTAGTCAATTTTAAGGTCCAAATTTGAGAGCCAAATTTGAAGAGTGTTAGCTTTGGTTGAGTGTTCCCAAATCTAAGACTTTCGTAGTAGAAGAGTGGGTTGAGTGTTCCCTATTCCAAACTACACCAAACGAAGGGTTGAGTGTTCCCCTTTGTTATATCCGAGTCTAGGGTTGAGTGTTCCCCTATTCTCACCTTTCTTTCTTACGTTTTCACTTAGACCCTTTAACAAACTTCGTTGTAACAAGTTTCTCATCTTGTTTACACATCACAAACACATTCAAACAAAGCT